CTTAGACCTCCTCTCAAAAGTGATCGATTTCGTGAGGCTACTGATAAATAAAAGACCGACCACTATTCGTAAAAATCCGTTATTTATCTCATGTAAGAGCTGGAGAGTTGTCTGAAAATTTGAAGCAATTCTCGAAAATTATATTATAAAACTCTAAAGGACGTTTTATATGTGCTGTGATAAGTATCTAATTTCTGACACATTGGATTTTCAACATGTTGTGCTTTATGTTCAATTTTCACACTTATAAATTAAAAGTGATAACTGATTCAGCCTGATAAATGAAAAACAATAGTCTTGTCTTCTAAATTCACACATATTTTTGCAAAGGGGTTGCGTAGACTCTCAAATTCCGCGTTAACAATCCCTACCGGGAGCAGAACCAGAATTTAACATATCAAGACTCTGCTGGACTCAGGTTTGTAATATTCGCAGAAACCAATATTCCGGTTTCTATCATTTACATACTTACACCAAGTTTTATGTGAAATTTGAGCAATTGTACCAGATGTGAAAGGTCAAGTAGAGTGTATCGGAATTACACCTACCCTTGGATGAAAGGGCAGGTCACACAAGATGGTGTTACCGTACAAAGGTGTGGATTACACAAGTCGGTGCAATTGCACAATGGTGTGGCTACACCATAACAAGAAGCAACTACGTGGCAGGACTGCCAGTAGCAATACATATTAATTAAGTTTTTCCATGCAATTAGACAAATCTAAGGTTTTAGATATAAGCAGAAAAACCGAAAAATACTGTTTCAATCTCGAGCAAAAGAGTACAATTGCCTTGAGGTAAGGACTCTTGAAGGTAGCGGATTGCAAATCGTTACATTTTAGTATAGAACATCAATGACCTTAATAAGCTTCCTCTAATCAAAGAACTACGGGAGCTCCGCTGCACTTCAATCGAAGGGAGCCAGCTGGATGCTGAAAAGCTAGAATAGTTGAGTGACACCGTCACTGTTCGCTTAGAGACGGAAACTTGTGTCACTGTGCCAAGTGCCCCTGTGGACCTCTGTGTCATGTTCCTTGACTTTGATAGCGTGGAACGCTGTCTAGTCTTAGTCTTGGATGCACGGTATGGCCTTATTCTTGGTATTGTCGGAACACCACGAGCCATGGATTGATTGTCTTGGGCTCTACGCGCACGTCTCGTAGTGGAGCTTTGGTGAGTCATTAACCCACCTTTTCTAGGAAGCAGAAGCGCTATTGACGCGGGCACCTGACCGGGGCGGTCAATGTACTGGATATCATAGTATCCGAAATGTCGAACACCGAAGATGTATTGAATTAGAGTCCTAAGCATGGCTCGTGGGCTGGACGTGGAGTGGCACGTAACGTACTCAGCACTGCTCAAGTATTGGAGCTACTGCTGCATGCCAAGAGTGGCATGGTCGGCCGAGGGCCGAGGCATCGAGGACGAGGCCCCAAAGATGAACATGGAGTGGCAAGTAACCCACTATGCACTGCTCACGTTACAGCAGTTGCTGCATGTCAAGAGTGCTATGTTTGGATAAGGTCCGAGACATCAAGGGCGAGGCTACAGTGATGCGTGTGGATTGGGACGTAATCACACTGAGCACGGCTGAATGCCCAGAGTAGCACGGTCGGACAAGGTCCGAGGCATCTTGGGCAGGGCCGTTTTGATGCGCATGGATTGGCATGTTTCCCACTGGACGAAGACTGCGGAAATAGCAGCGCTTCATCAAATGTTGTTTATAACATCAAGGCTCCGATGGAGCAGGGAGTGGGGACACTGGTCGACGCTGAGTGCGTGTCCCCACTGGTCTCACCAAGACGTAAAACCTCTACAGAGAGGAGACGGTGATGCCGTATATTATCTGCATGACGCAGGGCCTCGACCCTCACCCAGGGTGTGTCTACCGATGCCGATGGCGCACCACTATACACACTTGTCAACGGTATGACATGAGTAGAAGAAGGCGACGTCACTCTCGAGGCTATTCCCGCGGTGGATGATCTTATTGAGTTGGACGAGATAACCTTTGCAGAGTTTAGCAGTGCCTTGAAGGCAGACAATTTAGCCGAGGTGGTCATTATAAGACCGAACGAGGAGATTAACTTGTCGTCGCTTCTGGATGAAGCTGTCCTGTAGGATACTAAGAAGGTGCTGAACGCTCGAAGTGGATCATCCATCCTATAGGGTCCTTCGGATACGTATATTCATTTTGTAAAGGAGCTTCAAGACGTCGTCTCCAAGGACCCGCCGTCGGTTTACCTCCGGACCGATGTGTGCGTAATGAAATTGACCTGGTTACGAGAACCAAATACCGCGTAACATACCAATCGCCCCTGCCAAAGAGCAGTGTGACGTCATTCTTTTTTCGTGCGAAGAACAACGCAGGAATAGTGCGTGAGAGCAAGTCTCACCACTTCTGTGTCCGGAAGCCAAACGGAAACTGGCCTATCGTTCGCGCTTACAATAAGCTAAATGCTGCCACCATTCCGGAACAGACGCCAATTTCTAGAAAGGATATTCACTAGAACAATTTGTTTGGCTTTACAAAGTACAGTGCACTCGACTTGGTCGATGGTGATTACCAATTGCTCATGAGAGCGAGTGATACTTCGCTGACAGCGGTGAGTACTCCGAGCGGGATACTCTGGGAGTGGCTGGTGATGCCTTAAGGACTGTCAAATGCACCAGCAACATTAAATTGCCTTGTGACGCAGCTGTTCAGGCCCCACAAGGCGTATACACAAACATACTTCGACGACATCTTCGTCTACAGTACGGGGGATGTCGAGAAGACGAGGTGAGCAGTAGAAGGCAAGTTTGGAAGTAAATGTGTTTAAGGTCCTTAGTTCGCTATTCCGAGCTACCTCTAAGCCTTTCCTATGACGTCATC